CCATAATATGATATCTTACAGGTGGCGAAGAGTCGGTGTCCTTGAAGAAGCCAAGAGCTCTCTTGGCATCAACAGGATTCAGGGCAGCAGCAACAACCTTAACAAGGACCTGGTCTTCCTTAATCTCAGGAACCCTAAGATCTGAATCTAGCTTCAAGACATCGACAGGATTTCCATGTTTCGCGTAGAGCCAAGCCTTGATCTTAGAGGGGATGGTGACATTTGAGTAGGAAGCCATTGAATAAGCAAAAGGCAAGCTAAGTAATTGTGTGTGGATCGGTGGGAATATAGAAGAGAAGAGAGGTTCTTTGTTCTTTAATAAGTTGATGTGAACTCACCTTGTCCATCTATTTGTAGTGTTAAGGTAGAGAGTCGGTGAGGTTGACCATCATGGATTGGTGAAGCTTGACTTTGGTTTAAGAATTTGGGATTTGTCAATGTACAGAGACATGGATGTAATCCAAGTTCATTGTGTCTAAATGCAATGTTCGGGTGAATTTCATTGCTTATGATAATAGTTGCACATTCTTGGTAATCCTATCCGAAAAAGGAAACTTTTTAAGGTATTCTTACCATTCTAAGCAATTTCAACAAGCTCTAATCTATTGCCAACTCAGCATTTTTTAAATCTTTTTTCTTAAACTCAAGTTTGTTGTTATATTCATATTACAATGTTCATGGACTTCATCAATATTGACCGTCGCGTTTATTCCTAATTAATTGTTTCCTTTTAATCCGTGGTAATTTTTTTTGGTCGATAATCTGTGGTAATTTACTTCATCAATTCTTTAACAATTTAATGGTCTATTATTGCCGACCATGTTAATCTTTATTAACTTAATAATTTGGTCCTCTTTTATGAAAACATTTTGTTAAGCTGCAAGTGTGCGCTGTGTTAGAAAAAGTCTCACGTTGGAGAATTGGTATGGTATGGAGTAGTTAATCTATTCTAACTGGCCTATAACTTATAAGCTTAAGCTTTTGAATTAAATGAATCCAACTGGATGTGTTGACGCGCTCGGACGTGAACTCCCTCTTGGCAATCTCTCTGGTAAAGGTTCCGGACTTCTGCTACGTGCTCTGAATAGTAACTGTGTCCCACTAAGGTTCATCTAAGTCATGTTTGCGATAATGCAAAACAGAAAATGAATGATAGGTGAATTGAGTGCTTAATTGCCTAGGGTAGGCTTGTGTCGAGAACTTAAGAGAGTTGCTCAGCTTGCTTGTTTTCAGCAGTGGAGGATATTGTGCGGTATCTCCGCACCCAGCCATGACATTATTAGTGTTAATGAATAGTTTCATCTCTGAAAATGATACAACAAAGAACAAAAAGTTCAAGAGCTTTCTAGGGAACAACTCTTTTTCTCTTTTTTTCTTTTTTCACTATTTTACCTGATAATTATGGATGGATATGCCAGTTGCAGACGGTCAAGATCATGATCTAAGGGGTGACCCACAAGAATCCTGGCTTTACCGCCTCTGGGACGAATCTTCCCCATCGGTTCGCCATTACAGAGGATTTCTTGAATTATCTTTGGGACTTGCTTTAATGGCATGGCCTCCTTCTTCAAGTACTCTGGCCTTATTCCTGTTGTTTCTGTAATAATGGCCCGGCCCAAGCCCCCAAGCCCAAGCCCAAATATTCAGCCCACCTTCACTATCCTTCAATAGGTGAGCTTGTGAGCGTACAAGGGAAAGAAAAGCACGGGCGACAAGAACAAAGAAAAGGAGCTCGTCCGCGAATTAGGAGAGGGGAAAAGAGAGGGAGAAATTTTCGCACATACATGATCTGGACACCCCGACAACCCGAATCAACTCTAAATTGCAACACTTGGTAAGTGTCCGAGCCCATTATTCATCTATTCAGTGTAATTTTCGAAATTAGGCCATAAATTCGAAGTTATGTCAATTTTGAATTATGAGATTCTATAGAAGAGTTGTCAAGCTGTGGACTTATATAGGAATATTAGTTCAGGGCATTGTGGAGCCGTAGGGTTTGACGAAAATCAATTTTGAAGTACGGTTTGATTAGAATGAATTTCCGAAATTTCACGTGCTTGTTATGTGTTACGGATAATACGCGTAATAGATAAAGGCGAATGTTCGCTATAAATGAGTTTTTTTGTTAGCGTGAAGGAGTTGATTCATTAGCCAAAACGGTGTAGTGATAGAAATTTAGTCGAGGCATTCATTAGAATAGTATATTACTTGGATTTTGATATCGTTTCTCGATTGATTGATAGAAACACGAATACGTCGGTTCGAGTATCCTTCGTAGGTTAGTTTTAAGCTTTCCCAAGTGTGTGATGTTGTCTCTTCTTCGATGTTGTAAACTCATATTTTAAAAGCGATATGCATTAGTTATATTATGAGTTATAAATTGCCTTTTTGGTTGCATAAAAGTAGATAAAGCATTAACTACCTTTTTGTCTGTTTGAAATGATAAGATATCTTTTGATTACAGTTTGAGTTGATTGCATGTAAATGATTTGGGAAACATTTTATGAAAGAATCACGAAATGTTCTTGACTTTGAATATGGTTTATGAAAGATTTTATGTTTGATGATTGAATTGTGAAAACTGGTATGATTTGGTTATTGAGCTTGAGTTTTGAAATGGTAAAGGATTTGATTGTGGGTTATTGGAGAAATGTTGCTAGTGGATTGTACTCATGTCGTTATGATTAGAACTCATTGAGGGATAACTATGCATATTGTTATCAGGACGTGTTTCTGGGCCGAATCATCGCTTGATATAGGTGGAGACCTAATTAGGGGGAAACTTGGTCATCTTTGTCACTGGCGTTATGCGTGATCATAGTTAGATATTGAGCATTAGATTGGTCAATGGAATAAATTATTGATGTTTGATTTGATTAAGATTAATCAATGGAATAGATCATTGATGGTTGCTTTGTTATTGTTAAGTTGATATTGTTGATTGATCATATATGTAAAAAGTTTTGTTGGGAAGATATCATTCACTTTTGATATTTTACGAATATCTTATACTGGATTGGAATTGATGGGTTATGATATCGTTTTATAAAGGTGCTAGTGAATGTTCGATCCGTTTAGAAGTGATGTGCTGCTCACTGAGCCGTGATTGCTCATTCCATTCATTTTACTTGCTTTTCAAGTTCTTCAGCTAGCTGCAAGTAAGACAAGAGCATTTACGTTATCAGATGACAGTTTGATAGTGAGATTTTTGGATATGAGTTGTTTATATGTAAGATGAACTTCTGAGTTTAGTTGTTAGATGGAGATGTACATATTCTTTTGATGGATTATAGAAACTTTGATACTGTAACCAGATGACTCTTTTATCAAATATATGGATGTATATTTCAATAATAGATAATCTCTTCAATATCAGTATCCGTTCAGAGTTTCAATTTACAATTACATGAGAAATTGTCCCAATATATAGTAGGAGTTTAGGTCATACAAAATTATAGTAGATATTTTATGTATACCCTTAATAGCGGTATTTTCCTCCCTCTACTTTAACAATTTTTTTCTATTAGACTTCTCAACTCCATCGTCGCTCACGCGTAGGCTGAACTTTAGCCTAAGCCTAAAATGTGGCAGTGTGAGATTAAGAAGCCAAATAGGGGTCTGGAAAGATTTGAACTCAGGACTTCCTGCTGTGATATATGTGGGATTCTGTAAAACTACAATTAACTGTTCTAAAAGTTTAAGTTGTTGGATGAATGAAACTGCGCTCGAGAGGATGAGCCCTAACGAACTGTCGGACATCTCGATCTCAAATTACTGCTGTTGGTGTGTAGATTCTTTGATCAATAACCCTTGTGTCATCGTTCGCGATTGGAAGCTCAATTTATTTGGTCGAGGATTATTACTTCATGCCAGAGAAGCGAAATTGTGTAAGCTAAACTAGGAGTGACATGCATTGATATATCTCATAAATAGAAACAGGAATGAGGATGTATAAGTAGTCTCCATTCACATGTACTGGTTCTTGGTGCTTTGCGAAATCTAATTCATCGATCACATATTCGGTCAATCGATCTTCGAGTAACTTTGCGAGTTTGCTGACTTAATTAACAGAACACAAGTAATTCTTCTCTAAATTTACTTGTCACTTGTCTGTGATCCTTATTAGTAGTTTTGTCTACATGTACTTGACTTCATAATATGAAAGGCAGCTCAATGAACCCTTAAACAAAGCTAAATATTTTTCTTCAGAGCAATAAACTTATACACTATGGATTGGGTTGACATGATGATTTGCGCGAGCTATGGGCACATGTAACATATATTAAGTTCCATCCTTGGCTATCGTCAGAAACCGCGATAATTTTGGTCCATTCTCCGCAAACAATCTCATGCAAAATTACCATATAAATCATAAATCTATTGTACGGATATCATTTCAATCCTAAACTTTTCAATTTGGCCAATTCAGTCTAAACCTTTTAATGATTTGTCAATGTACTTCTTCTGATCAATTTTGGTTGGATATTATTGACGTTGACGCCGACCGTCCTTCACGGCATAGCCGCTGCTAACATGGACGATTTTTGAAATTTTTTGAAAAAATTTCTAAGATTGTTTTCTTTTCTTTTTCCTTTCCCTTTTCTTATTTATTTTTTTTCTATTTTCCTCCGCTAGCTATCACCGAGGCTCGACGACAGGTGGAAGGAAATAGGGAAAAAGGGCAACAAAAACAAAAACAAAAAATTTCAGAAAATTTATGAAAGAATGCAAAATTGTCCATGTCAGCGATTGTCGGCCAAAATTGGCCTAAATAACCACATTGATAAATCGTCAAACGGTTTAGAACCAAATTGGCCAAACTGAAAAATTTGTGACTGAATTGGCATATGTTCGATAGGTTCGGGAATTTTATGATAATTATCCCAACAATTTGATCATATCATTATGATACTCTGATTTTGGTTTGAGGGGGGAGGGGGATGGAGGGGTTGATTGTCTTTATTTTCGCAATATCAGTGAAAACAACCACATCCTCCATCTTGTCGAACAAGCGATCTTATTTTATATATCACCAGGAACACTATGGACATGGTTGATGTTCCCCCAGTCCAATATTCAAAGAGAACACACTACAATCTCTCTCTCTATATAAAATTTCATGGGATCGGGTAGATGACGATCTTTCCGGTGGGTCGGCCAGTCTCCAGATGCGAGATCGCTTCGAGAACCCGAGAAAACGGGTACGTGCCTTTGGGATCAAGCACTGGCTTTATTATCTGGCTCTCCAAGAGGGGATTCAGTTTCTCCAGGATTGAGCCCTTAGATGTCACATGGAACTTGAAAGCGGGTGGAGTTACAGGCCCCCCTACTGTCACCACACTTCCTCCTTCCTTCACTCCCCTTATCGCCCTCTCACTTTGACCTGCTAGCATTTCATTTAGTATCATTGAACTCTTCAAAAAAGCTACTGCTAGAAGATGATGTAGAAACAGTTATTATTCCATTTGGAAATATATGCATCCCCATGTATGTGTGTGTATAGACAGAAGAATTTATCTAAGCACAGAATTATCAAGACAAGACTTAGAATTTGTACGAACTCCGAACTTGTAAATGGAAAGATTAGTGAATATTTCGAACCCCACATACCAACTGCATCATATACAACATCGAATTTCTCTGGGAGGTCTTCGAAGTTCTCTTTGGTGTAATCAATGGCCAAATCAGCTCCCAAACTCTTCAGCAAGTCCAGCTTTCCGGTGCTAAATGTAGCTGCCACTCGTGTTGCCCCAAAGACTTGCTTGGCTAGCTGTGATTTTGGACAGATAAAAAAAATCATATTTTTATATGTAAAAATATCACCCAACATTGGATCCTAAAGACCGAAACTTCGACATATACATAGATTGAAACGAGAAGATGATTATATCTCGTGTGGTAATCTCAAGGTCTAAATTGAACGAATACTTGAGCAGATCCCGACCCAATAACCATTGACATCATTGTTTCTGTTATGAGCTTTTCATTTTTCTTTTCCAAGCATTAACAGAGCTTAGCAAATTGCAATGATATACCTGAATCACGAGGCTACCGATACCACCGGTGCCACCCAAAACGAGGATGGATTTGCCAGGCGAGAAGTGAGTTCTCTCGAGCCCTTCATAAGCGGTTTCAATGACCATGGGAAGTGAAGCGGCTTCAGCAAAGCTCAAGTTCTTGGGCTTGAGAGCCAGCAGCCTCTCCTCCACAGCAGTGTACTCAGCCAAAGTGCCATGTTGCTTTGGGCGGATCAAAGATACCTCATTGATGTCCCCGTACACTTCGTCCCCAACTTTGAACTTCTTCACTTGATCCCCGACTTTCACCACCACACCGGCCACGTCGTAGCCCGGCACAATCTTAATGGACATGAAGAAGAAAGAAAGACGTAAATAACCATTCCAATGAAAGAAGTAATTAGAAGCTAATAACATACTCAAAATGATAATTCTCGAGAAAGTCTTCTGGTAATCAAGTTTTTATGCCAGTCAAAAATTCGCTTTCCACAAGAGGTGCTATCACAATTGATGGAATACAAATCGAAAAGTTCAAGATCATTATAGATTCTCATTCAGCACAAATCTGTAGTCACGGCCGATGGACAAAACGAAAAAGGATTTTGCGTAATACGATGTCTTACGGGCGGTGGAGAGTCGTTGTCCTTTAAGAAGCCGCGAGCTCTCTTGGCATCAATAATATTAAGGGCAGCAGCAACAACCTTAACAAGGACCTGGTCTTCCTTAATCTCAGGAACCTCGACATCTGAAGCTAGCGTGAAGACATCGTTGGGGTTCCCAAGTTCGGCATAGACCCAAGCCTTGATCTTGGAGGGGATGGTGAAATCTGAACCGGAAGCCATTCAATAAGCAAAAAGCCAAGCTAAGCAACTGTGTGTGGATCTTGTCAGGGTATAGAAGGGAACAGATCTTTTTTTGGGTTTCTGGGTATTTGAATTTAACCCACCTGGTCAATCTATATATGGTGCTAAGGTAGAGAGTGGATGAGGCTTTTCATTATGGATTGGTGAAGCTTGACATTGGCGTAAGCATTTTGGATTTGTCAATGTACAGAGACATGGATGTAGTTCAGGTTCTATTTGTCTAAATGCAATTTCGGGTCAATTTCATCGTGTCATGATAATAGTTGGAGGTTCCTGGAAGAATAGTAGTCTTTTTTTAGGAAGTGAAGACTTCTCGAACAGGTGTCCATTTAGTGACTTTTATATTTCCTTTTATCCTTTTTTTTTTATGTTACCTTTTTCATGCTCAAATTTAGAGATCAAATCAAAGGAGGGCACGTTGTTCTTTCCACTATTGTGGGCAAGACAGGATGAATGCCTCTTGCTTTATTGCAATCAAAGAAGCAGATACCAACAAACCTTTCTCCGTGATTATGTGTTAATCTATTACGAAATCCTAAAATAATCGAAAGTTCACGGTATACTATATATTCACGTTCCTACTTTTTTTAGTTACAATTTTCTTTTATTTGGGAACAATATTCACCTAATCTTTTCTTCGGATGGAGAATAATATCTATCACTTTAAAAGTCGTAGTTGAATCCTTTGTATATTGATTTGTTTCTTAAAAAAAAAAATTGTTCTATCTTGTGGCTTTTTTATACCTACAAAGTGTAGTAATTTGTCAAAAAGTCCTAGATCATTTGTACGGTGGCAAATTTTATCCTGAATTTTTTAATTTTGCCAATTTAGTTATAAATCTTTTGACGATTTGCCAATGTAATTCTTCTGGTCAATTTTGGCCGAAAATCGCTGCTGTGGCGTTGGCTGTCCTACATGACACAACCACCATGTCAGCGATTTCTAGTCAAAATTGACCGGAATAACTGTATTAGCAAATCGTCAAAAAGTTTAAGACTAAATTGACAAATTGTAAAAAAAAAATTAGGACTCAATTGACAAAATTGAAAAGTTTAGACAGAATTAGCCACCGTACAATAGGTTTAAGATTTTTTGGCCAATTATCCCCTGCCAAGTGAGTCTCCCTCTCCATCTTCAAAATTTGTGACCAAGGTTGGACCGTCCACTTTGCAAACTACTGGCACGGTTATGCAAGCATTTTCCATTTCACGTTTTTTGTTACATTCATACTACAATATTCGTGGACTTCATGAATATTGACCGTTTATTCATAACTAATTTCCTTAATAAGTGGTAATAAACCTAATATTGCCTCTTATATTAATCTCCATTAAAGTCATGATTAGTTCGTATTTTTTTTGGTCAAAATAATTAGTTCGTCTTTTCAAAGTAACATTCCTATTGCGACAATCTTTCTCTCTCTTCATTGTTACCATTTCTCATATCTTAGTTTGTTGTTTCAATATCTTCTTCCTCTATCAGGATATCTTCAATTTTTTTTTCTCATTTTTCCCTATTTTTGTCGAGGAGTAGGCATGAACATCCTGGTAACCAAACATCTTTAAGGCTGCGTTTGGTCGACCGGATAAAAGCCAGGATAGGATATGTTTTATCATATCCTGTGTTTGGTGGTGGTCCAGGATAGGATAAGGTCGGATATAGACCGGATATAGCCCGGATAAAAAAATCCGAGGGGGGGGGGGTGAGATAGACCTGGATAGGATTTCTAATGCCTATTTTTCTAGAAACCCTACGCTCCACTCGCCGTCATCTTCATCCCCACACCTTGTGCGCTTTCACCAAAAAAATTTCTCAGCCTTTTTTCCTTCACCGACTCTTCCGGACCCGACTTTAAATCCGTAGTCCACCAAACAGTGGATAGGATATGAAGAAATCCCAGGATTTCTTATCATATCCTATCCAGTCCTATCCTGTTTAGAAATCCGGACAACCAAACGCAGCCTAAGAGGTTATTTTCTACTTCACCTATATGTCTCTTTATCCACGTGCTCTTACTTTTATAGATTTCTTTTTGCAAACTCTGTACGAAAGCACCCGATATCACCAAAACAGGTCCCTTTCGAGTCACCGTGAAAATGAACGCTTACCAAATCGTTAGAATATGTCTCGAGTCTGAGCTCAGACGAAAACATATATTCCATTTTCTTATTCCTCAGGCGGCCCACATTCACATATGGTATTATTTGGCCAAAAGTACATAATTCATTGCATGATGGTCGGCCAAAAATGAAATTAAATATATTGGGGAGCCTTTTGTGAATAGTGTATGTATAATCAAATGTAAGTGTTACCTTACCAAAAAAAAAAAAACAAATGTAAGTGTTACCCACCTGCGCATGGCCGAGTTGGTGGGCGCTTTCCTTCCCTCAGAGAGGTTCTGGGTTCAAATCCCCGCTCGGTTCCATAATTTAAGTGGGGGGCCCTGGCGGTGGGTTGCTGGGCTAGTCTCCCCCGAGGTATAAGCGCCCTGATTACCTGTGCGGGCTCGTCCTCGAGGAATGGTAATAAAAAAAAAAAAACAAATGTAAGTGTTACTTCTTTTGTTTTCTAAACTCCATGATGGTCATGACGGCCATCAATTGGGAAGAGAGTGCTGGTGGGCGGCCGAAGGATGGATAAAGAAAGGCTTTTGTGCTCGATTTCTTCTTCCATTGTTCTTTCTTGTTTGATGGCAGCATCTGAATAAACAGAGCTCTCCTGAAGCCGAGCGCAGGAGCTCTCAAGCAGAAGGTTTTCTTGTCGTGATTACCCCCGAGTAATTTAGTCAATTAAATTCTTGTGGTGAGAATTTGTATATTCCTTTGTGAGATTGGAAGAATATTTCTGAGAAATTGTGACGGCTGAACTCTATGTGAGTTATTGGGTGTAAGTGGGGGTTAGGCAACACCGAGAGCAATTTTTTTTTGTTGATACACTGAGAGTTTTGAGTTACTCAAGTGTGATTATAATCTTCATTGTACCGCTCGATCTACAATGAAATTGTATGCTGCTCTACCCATGGATGTCACACCAAACGAACTATATATGTAAATCCGATGTTCGTTCCATTTCCTTCATTTGGTCTATTTTATTGTTCGATCACTTGTCACATTTCCGCGCACAACACATACTTTTGCCTTGCAATTTGTTATACATGGATAGTGAAGTTGGGCAATGGAATGATCTTCCACAACGTTTACAATTTGTCAACAATTTTATGCTAAAGTATCTAAAAGTTACTGTTGGGAATAAATGAACTTCTCCATGCTTAGTTCGAACAGAGACGTATCAATTGCATGCAACACGCTCCGTTTTTTTTTTTTCCCGAGAGATCTTCGAAGCTGTGCTTGGTGTAATTGATGGCGAAATCAACTCCCATGCTCTTTAGCTTCTCCAACTTTCCGGCGCCGAGGTCGCTGCTACTCTTTTTGCACCAAACCCCTCCTTAGCTGACTGCAAAGGGACCAAAACCAACAGCTGGTCACCCATTAGCAGATACTGAATGGCCAAACCCATGTCGATCATTCCCAAACGAAATGCCTCTCCAGCATCTACTGAACAGACACTACAGCGAAAAAGGTTCACCTGAATCACAAGCGTGCCGGCTCACCGGTACCTTCCATATCCAGGAGGGACTTGTCAACAGAGAAACTAGTCCTCTCTAGGCCTTACATATGAAGTTTCAGTTGCCAGTGGGAGAGAGGCCGCTTCAGTAAAACTCAGGTTCTTAGGTTTAAGAGCCAACAGCTTCTCTTCCACTGCTTTCATTTTGCATAGCCTGTTAAAAGATCATAATGTGGAATTCCACAACCTATACAACATTTCATCTTGACCCTTGTTCACGCAATGCAGAATTTTTCCATAGCTTGTTAAAAGTTAGGGTTAATATCACGAAAAGTCCAAAATTGGTACACCTATGATAAATTTACACCAAATTAATTTTTTGACCACAAAAAATCCCAAACTGGTACACCCATGATAGATTTACCTCAAACTAATTTTTTGACCATAAAAAACCTTAAATATGTACATTTGTAACAAATTTACCCTCTATTAAATTAGATTGATATAAAGAAAAATCACAAATTAGTACACCTGTGAGAAACGGAGGGTAAAACCCCAAAACTGATACATCTGTCAACTGCCACGTATCATTTGACTTAGCAATTTGACAGTAAAATTTAACAGAAATTAATGCAGGGTAAATTTATCACAGATGTACTAGTTTGGGGATTTTGGTGGTCAAAAAATTAGTTTTTGGTAAATTTGTCACAGATGTATCAATTTGGGGTTTTTCGTGATATTAACCCTAAAAGTTACGAACATCAAGGGAGTGGTCGATGTTCATACTTACCGACATTAAACTGTTCTGGGAGGTCTTGGTGTAATCGATGGCCAAATTAGCACCCAAACTCTCAAGCGAATCAAGCTTTAAAGTGCTAGACATAGCTGCCGCTCTCAACGCACCAAAAACGTCATTAGCTAGGCTGCAGCTTTCTATGTGAACAGGGGTTTAATCTCCTTATACAAGTGGTAATAAGGGTAGGGGTAGGTTTTTTTTTTTTAATAAAAAAGATAATTCTCAAAGCCCTTTTGCAAAAAAAAATTTGCCAAATACTACTTGGGTCAAAGTAGCTTTACAAAGGATTTTTTACCAAATGCCATTTCCATTTCCTCAAGGAGCTTTAACCTAAAAGTATTTGCATTTTCCTAAGTAGCATTTAGAAAGTTGAACCAAACGAGCCCTTAGAGTTGAAGTTCCTGCTTTTCAGCGAAAATTATGGACTCATTACCATCGATAGACGACTTAAATCTTCACTTCGGAGGTCTCCCACATGAAATTCAATGTTTTTGCTATCATCCTACATCGTCTTTCTTGACATATGGAACATCGGAAACCATTCCCTTATGATCAGTCAGGAATGAACAATAATAAAGGCCAAAATATAACATAGTAAATTGCCTATTCATTGTTTATATTGATAAATTTAATGATTCGAATAGTATGTTAATAGTGTATAGGTGGACATTTTTAGGCTTGATTCACTTGTTCTGGGAAGTAATGACTCTGTAAGATTATTCAACTCAATAATAGCCAATAGCTAGCTACCGCCATTATAATTATTCTAAATATTAGAATAACTAAATATTAAACCACGTCCTCTTCTAACAGTTGATTGTGGTCCCACAAAATTTCACATGGTATCAGAGCTGGAGGTCCTGGTTCAAATTTTTTTAAGTCCCATTTGCCTCCCCGATTAAATATATCTAAGACCAAACTAAGCGTGAGAATGAGTATTAGAATAATTAAGTATTAAACCACGCTTTCATCTAGTAGCTTAAATTTTTAGAACAATTAATAATGGTCCCACAAAATCTCACATTGAATCTATCATCATCAACGTCATCATTTTACTTACCAAAAACAAAATCATCATTTTACTTTTCCAGTTGGCAGACATAATTGTAAGGATGGTCGGATATATCACCGTCAAAATTTACTTTTGACAACGAACGCACAATATGGAGACTAGGAAAGATGAAACCTTCCATCACTCTAACTCTAACCGCACTACGTAGAAACTAGTATACAAAGGGAGCCAAATATACATACATACAAAAACAAGCACCATCGACTACTAATCAAGGAACGCTATATTTCTTTCTCGTGTGTGTTTTGCGGGTCAGGGTGGATCACCGACTTTTCCGGCTGCCAGCCGGTCTAAAGATATGAGAGGCCTGCGAAATGGGAACGGGCTCTTGGGTACGATCACCGTCTTCACCTTCCTGCTCTCCAAGAAGGGCTTCAACTTCTCCAAGGTCGAACAGTCCAATGTTGATGGGAAAAAGAAAGTGGCCGGCGTTAATTCCTTCTCATATTCTACAATCGTCGCCACGCTCCCACCTGGCTTCACAGCCTTCACTGCCCGCTCACTTTGCCCTTGACATTGGGAACGTCACCTGTTTAGCATGGTGCCGAAAAGTTTCTCGTCCAGAAAGTTACTAGTCGCATGGGAAATCTCATCGGCGAAAATGGGCATTTTTAGCCAATCGATCGCCAGTGTACAAAGAAACTCGCATAGCATCCAGATGGATAGCTCGTGCATACACAACTAACTAATGTGAAACGTCACAAACATCGAGGTTTCATTTATGTTCCTTTACTTGCCAACTGCATCATAGACAACATCAAACTTTTCTGGGAGGTCTTCAAAGTTGACCTTGGACCTTGGTGTAGTCAATGGCCCGATCAGCACCCAAACTTTTCAGCAAGTCTAGCTTCCCAGTGCTAGACCCCACGATTTGGGCTGACAGGATGCTTTTCGCACGAGGTTTGGTCACACGTAACATATATCAAGTTCCAATCTCAGCTTTTAGAGAAATGGCAATATGGTTGGCGCATTGGTATCATCATAACACTCTCATTAAAGGAGGCAGAGAGAGATCCTAGTTACCATAATTTTCGCAATATCAGTGAAAACATTAATAGAACAATCGCTAGTAATTCGCATCAAGAAGAAGATAACTTTTGAGTTTAACTCATCCTTATTGCCATAATTTATGTACGTAATCACAAACAACATCCTCCCTCTTGTCGAACAGTAAGCTTATTTAACATATCACTAGGAACAATATGGACATGGGTGTGGATGTGCTCCCGGTCCGATATTTAGAGAGAACACCACAATCTCTCTCTCTCTCTCTCTTCATGGGATCGGGTGGATGACGATCTTTCCACTGACTCGGCCGGTCTCGAGATACGAGAACGCTTCGAGAGTCTGAGAAAATGGGAATGTGCCTTTGGGATCAATCACTGGCTTTATTTTCTGGCTCTCGAGGAAGGGATTGAGTTTCTCCAAGGCTGAGCCCGTCGATGTCAAAATGAACAGGACAGCAGGTGGAGTTGCCGCCCCTGCTATGGTCACCACATTTCCTCCTTCCTTCACTGCCTTTATTGCCCTCTCACTTTGACCTGCGTGCATTTTATTTAGTATCATCAAACTCTTCAAAAAAGCCTACAAAAAAGATAAGTTGAGTGCACCTTAAACTTCAGTAAATACTAGCTAGAAGTGGACACATAAATAGTTTTAATTCCATTTGGGAAGATATCCATCCCCGTGTGTGTAGATAGACGAATTTATCAAAGCACAAAACTATTAAGACAAGACTTAGAAGTTGTACGAACTCCAAACTTGTAAATGGAAAAATAGTGCATCTTTCAAAGACCACATACCAACTGCATCATACACAACATCGAATTTCTCCGGGAGGTCTTCGAAGTTCTCTTTGGTGTAATCAATGGCCAAATCAGCTCCCAAACTCTTCAGGAAGTCCAGCTTTCCGGTGCTAGATGTAGCTGCCACTCTTGATGCACCAAATACTTCCTTGGCTAGCTGTGTTTTAGGACCAACAGAAGATCATATATATCCATAGGTTGAAACGATAAGATGATTATATCATATGGATCGTATTCTCAAGGTCTAAATTGAACGAATACTGCAGCAGATCCCAACCCAATAACAGTTGACATCATTGTTTCTGTGAGGAGCCTTTCTTTTCCAGGCATCAATGGAGCTTAGCAACTTAAAATGATATACCTGAATCACAAGGCTACCGACACCACCGGCGCCACCCAAAACGAGGATGGATTTTCCAGGCGAGAAGTGAGCCCTCTCGAGGCCTTCGTAAGCGGTTTCAATGGCCAAGGGAAGTGAAGCAGCTTCGACAAAGCTCAAGTTCTTGGGCTTGAGAGCCAGCAGCCTCTCTTCCACAGCAGTGTACTCAGCCAGAGTGCCATGTTGCTTTGGGTGGTCCAGAGCTTTCTCATTGATGTCACCGTACACTTCGTCCCCAACTTTGAACTTCTTCACTTGATCCCCGATTTTCACTACCACACCGGCCACATCGTAGCCCGGCACAATCTTAATGAGCATGAAGGAAAGACAGACGTCAAAAAAAAAAAAAAACATTCCAATTGAAAAAAGTAATTAGAAGCTGATAACCTACTCGTAATGATAAATCTTGAAAAAGTCTTCTGATAATCAAGTTTTTATATCGTCTACTATCGGTCAAAAATTACTTTTCAGTAGTGGTGTTATCATATCTGATGAAATACGAAACAAGAAACTCAAAATCATAATAGATTCACATTTGCAGACAGCAGTAATGGACGAAATAAAATAAAAAATGTAGGTAATATGACGTCTTACGGGTGGCGAAGAGTCGATGTCCTTAAAGAAGCCAAGAGCCCTCTTGGCATCAACAGGATTTAGGGAAGCAGCAACAACCTTAACAAGGACCTGATCTTCCTTAATCTCAGGAACACTAACATCTGAATCTAGCTTCAAGACATTGATGGGGTTCCCACGTTCGGCATAGACCCAAGCCCTGATCTTAGAGGGGATGGTGAAATTTGAGTAGGAAGCCATTGAATAAGCAAAAGCCAAGCTAAGCAACTGTGTGTGGATTGGTGGTATTATAGAAGAGAATAGAGTTTTGTTGATCCTTGATACTTGAATTGAACTCACCTTGTCAATCTATATTTTAGGCAGAGGGTGGATGAGGATGATTATCATGGTTTGGTGAACTCTGCTTTCAGCATCTTGGATTTGTCAATGTACAGAGACAAGAATGTGGTCCAAGTTCATTGTGTCTAGATGCAATGTTCGGGTGAACTCCATGGTTTCATGATGATAGTGTGAAATTCTTGGTAGAATAGTAACCTCCATCTATGCGTTCCAATCGTTTAGAGACTGTTATTTTGATTTCATGTCATCTTATGATTCGTGAGCATATTAATGCGAGACTCATGCTCGACTAATAGATGAGGAGGATCCAACAAAAGGGAGAAAATTGACCAATTCAGTCTCAAATCTATTGCACATATACTAATTCAACCTTAAACTTTCCAATTTTGCCAATGTAACCATAAATCTTCGCGTAAAATTTCAATGTTATCCTTCTAATCAATTAACATCGAAAATCGCTGGCATGGCAATTTACAAGTTGTCCACATTAGAGTGCCACGAAGGACCTAAGTACGACTGGCAATAATTGGACGTCGCAGCAATAATTTCCAATAGCAGTTAGCTGGAAATCCTATATTGAAATTTCGCGCAAAGGTTTAGAACTAAATTGGTAAAATTGAAAAATTTAGGATTGAATTGGCATCCTTATAATAAGTTTAGACAATGAGCAATAGTTCTAGAGTGTAGTTTATGTTATTATTCACTACCGAATTGTAGGACACTCTCGTGCCGTATCGTCTTGATTCAGAAATGGTGTTTGGTTTCGATAATTAGTAATGGATTATATATCACAATCATTTGTCGCGTCATAGGGTTTATCAGGAAATAATAGTATGATGGCATATTTGATGGACAGATAATTTTGACTTATGTGAAATTACTCTAAGTTGATGGATGGACGTTTTTGTACTTCCAAAATGATTTTTCCCGTAATTTATAGCATTTTCAGAATTATGGATTACTTTGCCCGTGGATTTTGTTGGACAGCTGCATCATCCAATCCCAAAACATGACCTCCCAATGGAATATTAACACCTTCTTCTTCGCTTTTTGTTCAGCGAATGAACAAGCAGTTTATTCGCATGGCCTGTTAAAAATTAGGAACATCAAGGGATGCTGCGGTTTATTGTCATATTTTTTACAATATCGAACTTTTCTGGAAGGTCTTCGAGGTTGTCCTTGGTGTAATCAATGGAGAGATCAGCACCCACAGTCTTGAGCAGATTCAGCTTCCCAATGCTAGATGTAGCCGCCACTCCTGACACACCTTAGCTAGAGTAATGTCATTGAACAAACTGAATTCTAAACACTTTGTTGTGAACAAGTGTTTAGTCTCATTATACAAGCGGTAATTAGAGTGGAAATTCCTGCTTTTTCAGCAAGAATTATGGATGGATTGCCATCGATGGACGACTTAAATCTTCACTTGAGGAGAAAATATTCGACCTTTTTGCTATCATCATAAGTTGTCTTTCTTTATATCAGGAACATTGTAAACCATTCCCTTGTGATCAGTCGGGGATAAACAATAATAAAAGCCAAAATATGACCTAGTTCATTCCCTGAATAACCATTGTGGTGTTCTAACCTAGTTCATTACCTGAATAACCATTGTGCCAACACCACCTGCACCACTCAGAACAAGGAGGGACTTGTCCGGACAGGCCTGCACATTGAAGGCCTCCGCGAGCAGTTTCAACAGCTGCAGGCAAAGAAGCTGCTTTACCAAAGCTCAGCCCCCTGGGCTTCGGGGCCAACACTCTCTTCCATAAATGTGTACTCATTCAATGTCCCATATTGCTTTCCTTGGCTCCCCAATCCATACACCTCATCTCCACCTTTCAACTATATTTCACTCGATCGCCGACCTACGCCACGATGCCGGCCACTTTGTACCCCGGCACAGTCTATATGTAAGGCTCAATTGAGGGGAGTCACACTAACTATGAAATAGAAAATAAGTCAACACCCTGGTATCGAGTATATGAAGGGTGCTTGATATAAATGCAAAGTGTGATAATTGAAGTCCTCAAACATTACATTTAATATGGCCAATAGAGCTGCGAATAATAACCATTCTATTTCTCTATTTTTCTATTTTTCTGTTCCTGGGAACAGGTTTGGAACAGAAATCCGTTTGGTAACGCAATTTCATTTTTCTATTTCTGGAACAAATTTTGATTTCAGAAATAGGTTTGGAACAGAAATGAGAAGTAAAAATTTTCTACTTTTCTACTTCTGGAAAAAATTGAGAAATAAAATTTTTTCTCATCGCTCGCTCTCACTATTAGCTAGTTGCCCACTCCCCCCCCCCCCGCCCACCTGCCGTTCGCCAGCCGCCGTGGGCCACCGCCCGTCTCCCACTGCCGCCGCCCACTTGCCATTCGCCGCCTCCCACTGTCCGCCGGCCGTCACCCGCCTCCTGCCGTTGCCCAACATTGGCCGCCTCCTGCCGCTATCCTCCGCATTGGCCGCACGACCGGCTGCCATCCACTCACCAGTCGCCCGAGAGAGAGAAATTTTGTGCCTTTATCAAACAAATCTATTTCTAGCGAGAAATTGATTTTTGAAACAGAATGATTATTATTCGTGACTAGCTATCATTCTGGATCTAATGGGAATCATCATCATCATTTTTGTTTGCCAATTGGCCAACATGATTGAAAGGATGGTCATATATATATCGCCATCAAAATCTATTTTTGACAACGAGGGCAGGGCACACAATGGAGACTATGTAAAGTAGAAGCCTTCCATCACGCTAACTCTAACAGCACTATACAGGAGCAATTATACAAAGAGAAGCTGAATATACGGAGACAAAAACAAGCACCATCGACTACTAATCGAGAACTTATGAGTAAGACATATCCATGTGGACGCTCTATTTCTTTTGCGTTTGTGTTTCATGGGACGGGGTGGATCACAACTTTTCCGGTTGCCCGGCCGGTTTGAAGATACGAGAAGGCCTCAATGGCCTGCGAAAATGGGAACGGGCTCTTGGGATCGATCACCGGCTTCACCTTCTTGTTCTCCAAGAAGGGCTTCAACTTCTCCAAGGTCAAACGGTCCGATGTCGCTGGGAAAAAGAAAGCGGGCGGTGGTAATTCCTTCGCATATTCTACAATCGACACCACGCTCCCTCCTGGCTTCACAGCCTTCACTGCCCGCTCACTTTGCCCTGCACATTAGGAACGTCACCTGTTTAGTGCGGTGCCGAATAGTTCCTCGTCCAGAAAGTTACTAGTCGCATGGAAAATCTTATCGGCGAAAATGGGCATTTTTTAGCAAATCGATTGCTGGTGTTACGGTGTACAAAGAAACTTGCATAGCATAAAAATGAATACGTCATGCATACACGACTAACTAACATGAAACGTCAAAAACATCGAGGTTTCATTTATGTTCCTTAACTTACCAACTGCATCATAGACAACATCAAACTTCTCTGGGAGGTCTTCAAAGTTGACCTTGGTGTAGTCAATGGCCAGATCAGCACCCAAACTCTTCAACAGATCTAGCTTCCCAGTGCTAGATGTAGCTGCTACTCTTGATGCACCAAAAACTTCCTTAGCTAGCTGTGCAATTGGATCCACCAAAAAAATAGTGGTAGAAGTAGAGTATTAACCCAACAGTCATCCGATCGAGTGGATCCCACATGAAACCGATTCGATTTGTGGGATATGATTCGCAAGAAAACAGAGAAGGAAACAAAACAGTACCTGTATTGCGAGTGTGCCGACACCACCAGCACCACCCAAGACAAGGAGGGACTTGCCGTGAGAGAGGCCAGCTCTTTCAAGGCCTCCATAGGCAGTCTGAATGACCGCCGGCAAAGAAGCAGCCTCCTCGAAACTCAGCTTCTTGGGCTTCAAAGCCAAGAATGACTCTTCCACGGCCGTGTATTCAACCAGCGTCCCGTGTTTCTTGGCGTGCCACGTAAATCCATATACCTCGTCCCCAACATTCAGCTCCTTCACTTCCCGGCCCACCTTCACCACAATGCCGGCGAGATCGTATCCCGGCACGGCCTAATCATGCAAAAGGGTGGGCCAGAACGTTAATAATACATGTTATAAGGAACAAAAAGAAACACTGACTATATCATCTATGTGCAATATAAACCAATTTACCGGCAAAGCAAAGCCTGGGAGCTCGAAAACCCCGTTCACTCTCATGTTGTCGACTGGATTGATCGACGCAGCAACGACTTTAACCAGCACCTGGCCTTCTTGCACTTCGGGGACCTCATATTCTGGGTCCAATCTCAACACATTGGCGACATCTCCGTGCTCGCGGTACACCCAAGCCTTCACTTTGGTTGGAATTTCGAAATTCATGGCCATGGAAAAGAATGGATCACTTTAGCAATTTTTTTTCTGTGGGATCTCTGGGTCGATCTATCTAAAGCTCAAAGCATACAAGAAAGTGTGAGGACTTCGTTTGCTTTTATAAGCTCCAAAGAGCCTATTTGCGTATCCAATGACTTCATAACTGCGAAAATTTGTCATAGATGACGCAAGCCAAAAATAGTTGACAAGTCCAAATTGTCGTGCCAGACAGACATAGAGAAAGGCGCGACTTGGCCTCGTGGTGAAATATGAAGAGATTTCTCAAAATTGTACTGGTGCAGAAAGTAATTAACAGCGTTCACGTCAACCCAATGGCTCGGTAGAAATCAATCCATTATATTTGGCCAGAAATGAGAAGACAGTTCCATTCTCAATTTTACATAATAGTAATTGAAGTGTCAATTCGACCTACCTAGGTTATATCATTACAATATAATAATGAGTCGGTCGGCTAATTTATTGCTAAGTTTTTTTTTTTGATCGGATTTTTATTTGTTGCCAAGTGTAAAAGGGCTAGAAACCCATGTGGTTATATTGCTCTCAGAGAGATTTCACGAATTTGGCCTTTAATGGTTTAAAGTTAAACATTACAGAACGGTTCGAAGGCCAAGAATTGCCGACTTATTTCAGTTTGCAACAAGAATGTCCAAATATGAGCAATTTCTCAAAGAAAAGGATAAGAAAAACCATAGGGAGTTTAAACAAAACATGGCTCTAGTCGACAAATATGAATCGGCAACTGAAACTTGACTCAGATGAGAGTGTCCAATAGCGGTGGCAAAAATGGTGCTTGAAAAACCTTATGTTTGCGTAGCGTAAGGCCTATCAGAGTAAAAGAAAAACAACTACAGCTAGGGCCAGGGACACTCAGATTTATTCGTTCGATATCAACAAATTTGACAAAAAAATTTATTCGCTCCTGAAAGAAGGCCTCATAAAATTAACCAAAGGCCAGGTTATTCCAAGTAAGGAAGAATTGGATAACAAAAGATACTGTAAATGGCACCATTCATGGATTCATCCGAGAGGCAATTCGACAATGGAAAATCAAATTTACCATCGACAAAGGAAACGGTAAAATGGAGATGGACGCAACTTCAAAAGAAGTCAACCTCAAAAGAGTTTATGCCAACGTTGCCGATAAGATATCGAGGTAGAGGATCATGATATTGCTAAAGGAAAAATGAAAGTAAATGTCCAGCCAGGTCGCGGCAGGAAAGTGACTTGCATCCACGATGATATATGAAAAGAGGATCGACCAAGTGTCTTTGACCGGTTTACCTACCCGAAGAAGAAGCGACACCAAAGAAATCCTTGAAGCAATCCCCACGAAGAAGGCGACCCTACTGTTGGAACACAAAGCCAACCTAATGGGAAAGTCGACTATCATGTGTAGTATACAAGACGCGAAGAGCAGCTCAAGCGAGTGCTCCCCAATTGGAGACATGCCTGGACCTTCTTGATGGCAAACTCGGAGGATATCATCCGATCTATCCGAGGAACAACGGATCTATGTTGGCGATGCACCAGGAGGCATGTTGACCAGAACTCGTACGAGAAGAATGCAAAGAAAGAGGCAGATGCTAAAACAACTGTAGGAAGTTCAACCTCAAACGCAATACTCTGAGCCTCGAAAACCTGGAAAATCTAGGAACCTGCTTTGGGAGGAGAAAAGTGGAGGGTTAGCAAACTAAAAAAGAAACCACCTCTAATGAAAAAGAAGAGGTTGCCTTGGGGGCATTGCCTCCCGCAAAAATAGACGTGGCTCGAGCTAGTTTGCCGATGATTTTCAAGGCATCAGCAATGAGAGTCGAGAAGGATGATGACCAAGTTGTCGACGAGAAGGCAAAAGAAACTAGAGCTCAAATCAGAGGAAGTCATGGAATTTGAAAAGCTCATTCAAGTTTCCACTACAGCGCCAACTGTGCTAGATGGGACGGCTGGCATCTACATTAACAATTTCTGGCCTATTGGCTGGATTGACTCATTTGGTAAAATGTGAAAAGGTTTAGGACTGAATTGATACAAGTGGAATAGGTTTATAACTTTTTTAGTACTTTTGTCGGATATTAACACCTTCTTCTTTGTTCAGAGGATGAACAAGTTTATTCACTTGAATGATACAACACAATCTACACAACAGTTCATCCAGACCCTTGGTAAGATAATGCAGAATTTTGCATAGCCTGTTAAACGTCATGAGCATGAAGGGATGCTGCGGATTATTTTTATACTTACCAATGTCGAACTTTTCTGGGAGGTCATCGAAATTGTCCTTGGTGTAATCAATGGCCAGATCAGCACCCAAACTCCTGAACAGATCCATCTTCCCAGTGCTAGATGTAGCTGCCGCTCTTGACGCACCATTACTCAGCTAGCTGTGTCGTTGAACCTACTAAATTCTTAACACTTCCTAAAGTGAACAAGTGTTCTAGTCTCCTTATACAAGCGGTGATTAGGGTGGAAATTCCTGCTTTTCAACAAGAATTATGGACGCATTGCCATCAATACATGACTTCAATCTTCACTTGAGGAGAATTTGTTCAACGTTTTCGCTATCTTCGTACGTCGTCTTTCTTTAAATCAGGAACATTGTAAACCATTCCCTTGTCATCAGTCAGGGATAAACAATAATAAAAGCCAAAATATAACCTAGTTCATTACCTGAATAACCATTGTTTCCAACACCATCTGCACCACCCAGAACAAGGAGGGACTTGTCTGGAGAGGCCTGCACTTTGAAAGCCTCCATGAGCAGTTTCAACAGCTGCAGGCAAAGAAGCTGCTTCACCAAAGCTCAGCTCCTTGGGCTACGGGGCCAACACTCTCTTTCACAGATGTGTCCATATTGCCTTAGTTGGCTCCCAAATCCATATATCTCATCCCCACCTTTCAACTTCTTCACTCGATCGCCGACTTATGCCACAATGCCAGCAACTTTGTACCAAGGCAGAGTCTAGATATAAGGCTCAAAGAAGGGGAGTCACAATAAATATGTAAGAGAAAATAAGTTAGGATCCTGGTATCGATTATCCGAAGGGTGCTTGTTATAAATGCAGAGTGTGATAATTGAAGTCCTAAAACAGTACACTCAATATCAGCCAATAGCTAGCTACACCATTATAGTTGTTCTGAATCTGATTGGAATAGTCGTCGTCGTCGTTATTTTTCTTTGCCAATTGGCCAACATAATTGTAAGGATAGTCTGATATATCACAATCAAAATTTACTTCTGACAACAAAGGCACTACATGGAGACTAGGAAAGTTGAAACCTTCCGTCACACTAACTCTAACCGCACTATGTAGAAACTAGTATACAAAGAGAAGCCGAATATACAGACAGACAAAAACAAGTACCATCAGCATCTAATCAAGGACTTGCGATTAACACAGATCCATGTGGACGCTATATTTCTTTCTCGTGTGTGGTTCACGGGACGGGGTGGATCACAACTTTTCCGGTTGCTCGGCCGGATTGAAGATACGATAAGGCCTCAATGGCCTGTGAAAATGGGAACGGGCCCTTAGGATCGACCACTGGTTTCACCTTCCCGCTCTCCAAGAAGGGCTTCACCTTCTCCAAGGTCGAACGGTCCGATGTTGTTTCAAAGAAGAAAGCTGGCGGTGGTAATGTCTTCCCATTTTCTGCAGTCGTCACCACGCTCCCTCCTGGCTTCACAGCCTTCACTGCCCGCTCACTTTGCCCTGCACATTAGGAATATCAATTGTTTACCCTGGCGCCGAACGGTTCCTCATCGAGAAAGTTACTAATCACATGTGAGATCTTTTCCGTAAAAATGGACATTTTAGCGAATCGATTGTCAGTGAGCAAAGAAACATGCATAGCGTCCAGATGGTAATGTCACGCAACATCAAGGTTTCATTATGTTCTTTTTCTTACCAACTGCAACATGGACAACATCAAACTTTTCTGGGAGGTCTTCAAAATTGACCTTGGTGTAGTCAATGGCCAGATCAGCACCCAAACTCTGCAACAAATCTAGCTTCCCAGTGCTAGATGTGGCTGCTACTCTTGATGCACCAAAAACTTCCTTACCCAGCTGCGCAATTGGACCAACCAAAAAAAAAAAATGAAACACCACCAAAAAATAAAAGTGTTAGAAGAAGAGTCCTCATATCGAGTGGGTCCCACGTGAAGCCGATGCGATTCTTGAGACGTGATTCGCAAGAAAACAGAGAATGAAACGAAACAGTACCCGTATTGCGAGTGTGCCGACACCACCAGCACCACCTAAGACAAGGAGGGACTTGCCGTGAGAGAGGCCAGTTTCTTTCAAGGCCTCCATAGGCAGTCTGAATGACCGCCGGCAAAGAAGCAGCCTCCTCGAAACTCAGCTTCTTGGGCTTCAAAGCCAAGAATGACTCTTCCACGGCCGTGTATTCAGCCAGCGTCTCATGTTTCTCGGCGTGCCGCGTAAATCCATATACCTCGTCCCCAACCTTCAGCTCCTTCACTTCGCGACCCACTTTCGCGACAATGCCGGAGAGATCGTAGCCCGGCACGGCCTAATGCAAAAGGGTGGGGCATAACGTTAATAATACATGTTATAAGGAAAAATAGTGACCATGCTGTCCATCTAAAATATCAACCAAATTACCGGTAAAGAGAAGCCCGGGAGCTGGTAAACCCCAATCACTCTCATGGTGTAATATTTGCATCTTTTAAACAGAAGAAGAGAGAGTTAGTGGTGGGGCCCACAAGAAAAAAAAAAGGAGAAAGAAGAATAAGAAGACTCGGTCAATAAAGCAGCACAATGGACTGCATTTTAAGACCGAGAGCTCCCTCAACCGAGAAAGGGAAGGGAGAAAGAAAAGGAAAGAAGAGGGGAAAGAAGAAGAAGAAGAAGAAAGAAGAGGAGGATTTTTTTCACGTGGGCTTGCTGCGGGACGTTATCAAGCCGATTCGACTTCGTGTCATAATGCTCAGTAAGTATTCATGTCTGTCGTTCGTCCAATCGGAGGTTTTTTCGGAATTACGGCTTGTATTCGAAATTTTGTGAAAATCGAGCCATAAAATCCGATTTTTGAGTCGTTAAGTTACGAATATATATAGGAATGGTAGTTTAGGGTGTTTTGGGGCGGTGGGATTTTGCGGATCTCGATTTGGATTTGCGGTTTGCCTGATACAAATTTTTGAAGTTACACGCTCACGGTGAACAGTGCGCGACTAGTGGCTTTTAGGACAATTTTCGTCGGTTTTCGACTCGATTTTGGGAAGGCCAAGTTGTGCGACTTATAGTACTTCAAAAGATCTTCCTTTTAACTATAAGCTCGCTTGAAATGGGGTTTGGTAGAAAGAGTTATAGCGTGATCGAGTTTCGCATTCAAGCTCCGTGTTGTAGATAATTTCGAATATTTGCTTCGGTTGAGAGTTTTGTTAGGGCGTAACAGCCGTTTTGTTAGCATTTAAGCTTGCTATATCCATTTTGTAATTGTCGTAGTATTTAACTTGGTTTTGATCATCGATTATCGTTTAATTGTTAGGATTATGAGATCGTCGGCTCGTTTAGCTACGTGTTATTCGTTTCCGATATTCCCAAGTAAGTGGTGATGTACTGAGGTATATATATATAGTAAGAAGGACATATTTGCTGCATAAAGCTGGATCGAATGTTTACTACTTTTGGATTATAGTGGGATTGTTCGATAAACCTTTCCTGAAAGGTTATGAATACTAGTTTGTGCATTAGATTTTTGAGATAACTCTTGAGGGTATATATATTTTGGTTTGTGAAACCATTTGTGATATGGATTGGTAAAAGAGCTAAGTGCTACACGATAACGTAAATTCGCGAGAGCCATCTCTAGAATCTTGTTGTCAAGGACTAAGTGCTGCATGGTGACTTGGGTAGCGTGGAAGCCACCTCTAGGGCCTTGTACTATTAATATGTGTAATAAATGACTAAGTGCTACACGACGATGTAAATTCATGAGAGTCACTTCTAGAGCCTTGTACTATTAATATACGTTGGTCAAGGACTAAATGCTACACGATAACATAAATTCGTGGGAGCCACCTCTAGAGCCTTGAGTTGAATATTGAGCATGGAATGGACCATTGACACGTGATTTGACGAGTTTGATTATTGAATTGGACCAGCAATACTGATTTTAATATTATGGATAAATGGGTATTCATGTTATGAATATTAATTATTTTGAAGTGGTATATAACTCAGTTTACTCTTGTAAGTTGTTATATTCTGATTGGTATAAATGAATTATATCCTTGTGTATCGTGGATGCTCAATATGTTTATAAGATATGTACTACACAATGAGCTATGGTTGCTCACTCCTCTTTTTCTCATTCTTTTCAGGTTCCTCAGCTAGCGGCCGTTAGTACAAGAGCGCTATCACGGGGACTTTTGAGAGTTAGATTTTGGGTGTGGTTTTTGAGAGTTGTATGTAAGGTTGTTGATAGTTCGTCGGGTTGGTTGAGTTCTTGATGTACATGTTCTTTTGGTGGATTATAATAACTCTAATGTTATAACCAACCTATTGGTTCATGTGATATATCTGTGATTTAAGATATATATGTTGTTAACAGGTTGTTGGTTATTTTTAAGACTTCGTTCTTCGTGTGGAAGGACGGCCATGTCATTCCCCTTTCTAGTTGTTTTCGGAGTGTTACCCGTGGTGGCAACCGGATTGAGCGCCACGGCGAGGACTTTAACCAGCACCTGGCCCTCTTGCACTTTAGGGACCTCGAATTTTGGGTCCAATCTCAACACATTGGCAACGTTTCCGTGCTCGCCGTACACCCAAGCCATCATTTTATTTGGAATGACGAAATTCGTGGCCATGGAGAAGAATGGATCAATTAGGACGAAGAAGTCTTTTCTTTCTCTAGGATCTCTCGGTTGTTCTATCTCAAGCTCAAAGCATACAAGAGAGTATGACGACTTCATTTGCTTTTATAAAGTGCGATAGTTATAAGCTCCAAAGGGAGGCTAATGACATATACGATGACTTCATTAGCGGAGAAGCTTCGTCATTGATGACGCCAACCGAAAAGGGTCAACAAGTCGAAAATGTCGTGCCAGACAAAGACAAAGAGAAACACATGACTTTTGGTCTCCTGGTGAAATATGCAGTAATCTCTCAAAACCGTATTTGTGCAGAAAGGCTGCGTTTGGTGTCCGAATTTCTAAACAGGATAGTGGATAGGATAGGATAAGAAATCTGGGATTTCTTCATATCCCGTCTTCATGTTTGTGGATTACGATTTAAAGTCGGATAGGATAATTTTTATTTTATTTTTTTGCTATTCGAGGGTCCGGAGGAGTCGGTGAAGGAAAAAAGCCGAGAAATTTTTTTGGTGAAAGCGCACAAGGTGTGGGGATGAAGATGACGGCAAGTGGAGCGTATGATTTCTAGAAAAATAGGCATTAAAAATCCTATCCGGTCTATCCTACCCCTCCCCGGATTTTTTATCATATATCCGATCTATATCCACCTTATCCTATCATGGACCACCACCAAACACAGGATAGGATAAAACATATCCTATCCTGGTTTTTATACGGTCGACCAAACGCAGCCAAAGTGATCAACAGCGTGAACCTCAGATGGTTCGACGCAAATGTCGGAGACCAAATGGCTAGTAAGAAGTCAATCCATTTAATTACTCAAAAAAGATCACTTGTTCAAATTTTTTGGCTCTAATATTTTATATGTAATGTACTTTTTGGCCAAAAGGTTGGCAGGATCAATTTTACTTAGGTCAAGCGTGGTAAATGATCTCAGTTTATGATATAAATCTCATCCAAAGATTATTTTATTTTCCGTATGGGCTGGTTTTACAGTTTTAGATTAGAGCAATTTAGACATACCGTTGACATATGAAATTTGAATTACTAAACAATGGGGAATATTGTTTAATAAGTCAAAAACATATTGTATGATTGCCAATTCAATTCGAAACTTTTCAATTTAGCCAATTTAGCCTTAAATGTAATCCTTCCAGCCAAATTTAACCGTAATCACTGGCATGGACGCTGGCCGTTATTGGCAAGTCATAAAAAGGTTTATGGCTAAATTGATCAAATTAAAAAGTTTAAGACTGAATTGACTGCCGTACGATAAATACAGGACTTTTTGGACAATTATCCCCTAAACAATGTCCCCACTTGAGTGGTTATTATAGAAATGAACTCTAAGCAGGGACAATAGTATAATTGTTCTGACAATGAATACCCAGCATTTATTTAGTAAATCAAGTTCCGTATACTTTCTTAAGTCCTTCTAGGGTCCCATATATTTCCAAATTTGCCGCCAGTTACCTAAAACTATCATAAGATCGGGTGCTCATAGGTAGTAATTTAACTCTATGGGTCTTCTTCTTTTTTTTTTTTTGGGTCAAAAACTCTATGGGTCTTAACTCACTTGAAATGATCGTAACTTCTTTAAGCCCAATAATTAAATTCAATATGGCCAATAGCTAGCTGCTGTTCTGAATCTGATGGGAATCATAATCATCATCATCATTTTTCTTTCCAATTGGCCATCATAATTGAAAGGATATTCATATATACCACCATCAAAATTTATTTTTGACAACAAGGGCACACTTTGGAGACTATGTAAAGTTCCATCACACTATCTCTAACCGCCCTATATAGTAACTTTTATACAAAGAGAAGCTGAATATAAACAGACAAGAGCAAGCACCATCGACTCCTAATCAAGGACTCGTGATTAAGACAGATCAATGTGGACGATCTATTTCTTTCTCGTGTGTGCTTCATGGGACGCGGTGGATCACGACTTTTCCGGTTGCCCGGCCAGTTTGGAGATACGAGAAGGCCTCAATGGCCTGCGAAAATGGGAACGGGCTCTTGGGATCGATCACTGGCTTCACCTTCCCACTCTCCAAGAAGGGCCTCAACTTCTCCAAGGTCGAACGGTCCGATGTTCCTACGAAAGAGAAAGCCGGCGGTGGTAATGTCTTCTGATGTTCTACTATGGTCACCACGCTCCCTCCTGGCTTCACAGCCTTCACTGCCCGCTCACTTTGCCCTGCACATTAGGAATATTAATCGTTTAGCCTGGTGCCGAACGGTTCCTCAGCGACAAAAGTTACTAGTTACATGGAAAACCTTATCAATGAAAATGGACATTTTTACCAAATCGACTGTCGGGGAACGAAGAAACTTGCATAGTATCTAGATGGTAATGTCATGCATACACAACTACTTAATATGGGACGTAAAAAAAAGCTGACTTTTCATTTATGTTCTTTTACTTACCAATTGCAACATAGACAACATCAAACTTTTCTGGGAGGTCTTCAAAGTTGACCTTGGTGTAGTCGATGGCCAGATCAGCACCCAAACTCTTCAACAAATCTAGCTTCCCAGTGCTAGATGTAGCTGCTACTCTTGATGCGCCAAAAACTTCCTTACCGAGCTGCGCAATTGGACCAACCAAAAAATAAAAATATGAGAAACACCGCGATAAAAAGCGGCAGAAGTAGTAGAAGTAGAGTCCTCATTTCGAGTGAGTCCCGCGTGAAGCCGATGCGATTCGTGAGACATGATTCGCGAGAAAACAGAAAAGGAAACAAAACAGTACCTGTATTGCGAGTGTGCCGACACCACCAGCACCACCCAAGACAAGGAGGGACTTGCCGTGAGAGAGGCCAGCTCTTTCAAGGCCTCCATAGGCAGTCTGAATGACCACCGGCAAAGAAGCAGCCTCCTCGAAACTCAGCTTCTTGGGCTTCAAAGCCAAGTACGACTCTTCCACGGCCGTGTATTCAACCAGCGTCCCGTGTTTCTTGGCGTGCCACGTAAATCCATATACCTCGTCCCCAACATTCAGCTCCTTCACTTCCCGGCCCACCATCACAACAATGCCGGCGAGATCGTAGCCCGGGACGGCCTAATGCAAAAGGGTGGGGCAGAACGTTAATAATACATGTTATAAGGACAAAAAGTGACCACGCAGTCCATCTTAAATATCAACCAAATTACCGGTAAAGAGAAGCCCGGGAGCTGGTAAACCCCATTCACTCTCATGGTGTCAATCGGATTGAGCGCCGCGGCGAGGACTTTAACCAGCACCTGGCCTTCTTGCACTTCAGGGACCTCGAATTCTGGGTCCAATCTCAACACATTGGCGACGTCTCCGTGCTCGCCATACACCCAAGCCTTCATTTTAGTCGGAATGACGAAATTCGTGGCCATGGAGAAGAATGGATCAATTAGGACGAAGGAGTTTTTTCTTTCTCTAGGATCTCTCGGTTGATCTATCTCAAGCTCAAAGCAGACAAGAGAGTTTGAGGACCTCATTTGCTTTTATAAAGTGCGATCATCATAAGCTCCAAAAGAGGCTAATGACATATACGATGACTTCATAGCGGAGAAGCTTTGTCATTGATGACGCCAACCGAAAAGCGTTGACAAGTTCAAAATGTCGTGCCAACAAAGGCGGAGAAACATATGACATCGATCTCTCAAAACTGTATTCGGCCAAAAGGTTTGCAGGATGAAGATGAACTTTATTTACGTAAAGCGGGGTAAAATGAGCTCAATTCATTATATAAATCTCATTCATAGACTATTTTATTTTCTATATGGGCTGCTTTTAGGGTTTCAGATTAGAGCAATTTAGATATACCACTGACATATGAAATTCGAATTACTAAACAATGGAGAATGTTGTCTGATAAGTCCTAAACCTAGGGGAAATTATCAAAAAAAAAATTGAATTTATTGCATTTGTGCCAATTCGATAGTAAACTTTTCAATTTGGCGATTTACCAATTTCGTCCTTCAAGCCAATTTTAACTGGAAATATCCTACGTGGCATAGCCATCACTAACGTATACAATTTTTTTCCTCTCTTTTTCCTTTTCTTTTTTCTTTTTTCTTTCTTTCTTTTCCTTTTTATCTTCTAAGCCTGGTGAGGATTGCTAGCCAGTGACCCCTCTCCTGCCACTGGGCGAAGGCCAGAACCCTCGCCCGCTATCAACAAGGACTTTGTGACCCTTGCCTGTGGTCAGCTGGCCCTCATTGGACTTTGTAGAAAAAAAAGGAAAGCCATAAAATAAAATAAAAATCCAAACTATGCCTATTGTAATACATTTACTCTGAATTTTTTTTTTGTGACATTAAAAATCCCAAACTTGTTTCTATGTGATACATTTACCTTCTGTCAAGCATCGTTAGATGATTTTTCAGCTAAAATAGCGTCGTTTTTACTTCACTTAAGCCACGGGAACACTAAGTCAATACCGTTTCTTTTCTAACGTACATGTAGGCAGATTTTCGATAGTTCTCATTGACAGAAATTCAACGAAGACTAAATGTACCACACAGGTAAATGTTTGGGATTTTTAGTTTCACGGAAAAAAGTTTAGGCAAAATGTTTCACAGTGGCATACCTTAGGGTTTTTGGTGGCTTTTGCTCTAAGAAAAAAAAGGAATAGAAAGAAAGAAAAAGAAAAAATAAAAAAAATTCAGAAAATTTTAAAACATTATAAAAAAATTTCCACGTCGACCTTCGTACGTAGCACTACTAACATCCACGTCAACGATTTCTAGTCAAATTGACCGAAATGACTTAAATGGCAAATCATCAAAAGATTTAGGATTAAATTGGCCAAATTGAAAGGTTTAGGACTAAATGGGTACAATATAATAGGTTTAGAACTTTTTTGGTAATTTTCCCCCTAAACCTATTGTGCGACAACCAATTTAGTCTTAAATTTTTCACTTTTGCCAATTTAATCCTAAACATTTTGACGATTTTCCAATATAATTCTTTCAGCAAAATTTTTCGTTATTGTTGATATGGATGTTGGCTGTCATTGGCAAATTATCAAAGGTTTATGACTAAATTAACCAAATAAAAAAGTTTTAAGACTCTATTGACTGCCATACAATAGCTTTAGGACTTTTTAAAAAATTATCCCCCAAACAATGTCCCTACTTTAGTGTATATTAGAAAAATCAACTCAAAGCAGGGATAATAGTAGATTTTTTTTCTGACAATGATAATTCAACATTTATTCAGTAAATTAAGTTCCATATACTTTCCTAGGTCCTTCTAGGATCCCATAAATTTCCAAATTTGTTTTCATTAACCTAAAACTATCGTAAGATCGATTGCATTGATATGGGTTTTAACTCACTTGTAATGATCGTAACTTGTTTACACCAATAATTAGTAATTTACCTTGATCAACAATAATTTGTCTATAAAGTTCCCAAAGTGAATATGCCAACACTTAGCAATGAACCAATAGCATAGTAAAATATCTCAAACTGTTGTAAATGATGATAGTTATGAATACTAATTGTCCTCATTAATTCTCATTTTCCTATAAATCCTTACTACATTTACCTTAAGAGTCTCCAATGGTTGGTCTCCAATGGTTGAATAAACTAATGTCGTAATCAACCTGAATTTAAAGTTGTGCTGTACGCCGATGTTAAAAGCATGTCGTTCCTGGATAAACCTTAGCTTCATGGTGACAAATTCCTGCCAAGACTCCCTCTACATTGATCTTCTCAGCCAGAGTCACCAGATGCAGTGAGCCAACCATCCCATAATGGTACCAAATGATGGGATTGTTATGGAGGCCTCAAATTTTTTGAAATCGATCATCCAAGGATAACTTTATAATCACAAAGCTCACCTTCATAGGGGAACAATTTCAGTGACTGATCACATTCACTCTTTTCCTCTCGCAATCGCTTCAATCAGACACTGAAATCCTCCGTCGTGCTGATCTACACTATTCATATATTGCATCAAAACTGCATTGAGTAGATTTAATACATACATACACAGGAAATTGAACAACATAAGAAAATAAAAGTAGGCAGGTCATTCATCTGTTTTGATCGATTACGAGGAACGGAGGGTACAAAGCGTGTAACCGGAGATGATGGAGCAGAGAGCAAAGGCCATGAAAGCCAGGATGGAGAGAGCCACGGATGCAGTTGCCATCTGTGGGAACTTGTCCTCTCCCCAGTTCGATTCCCAGTCATCGACTCTCGTTGCGGCTGATGATGATGCCGATAACAGCAGATAACTCATTACCTGCAGTTCCCACACACAGCAGTCAGAGCTTGAATTGAAGATGACACGAAATATTCCAATCATGAGAACATGGACAGTTTCATATGCTTTCTAGTATCAATCTGTACTGTCGAGGGGAATTCTGTTCCCTTTTCAATCCATTTAGCTTTGTGTCACCTCAGTGCCATTGTTTTCACACTATGATGAATCAAGTGTTTTTGAATGATAAATCACACTTGACCAGAGTTGATAGCCAATGGCCAAACTATCCTGTCGGCTTTCATTTTTAACTCGTTTGAACACAGCACCAATTTGTTAGTCAATGGAGCTAATATCTCTAAGTGACTGAATAATATAAAGGAATTTTGCTTAGCACACACACGGAGTGAAAAGTTATCCCACGTATAGCGTAAGATAATTGCATATATAGTTTATTTTTGGTGACTGTATTCAGTTTAGTAGATAAATATTCATAGTCCAAGATTATATGTTCATAAATCTTTTACAAGGCCCGGTTTTCCAATATAAATCTGAAGATAGTACATTGAATTTGTTTGATGACTACATCCTCAAGGCAAGACATGCGAGAGCCCTCGAGAGGAAAGAGTTGAAAACCGGGATTCTGCCAAAGTCTCGAAATGAGATAAGATATGACAGAGATGCCAACATTGTTTTCATTCGCTGGAAAGTTCAATCTACCAGCGTTCTTTGATGAGCCGTAAAATATTCCACCGTTCCGACCAAAAAAAAAATTCCACCGAAAGCAGAAAGTGCTTTTACAAGATTCACAGCAGAGAAATAGGAGAATATGTTCTTCTTTTCCCTTTTACAAATTTAATCTCATGGACCAAATCTAATGAAGGTCTATGAAACGATGAAATTCGTACTGAACCATTAGAAAGGAGCGTGATGAAAACCCACAAGTTTGCTGCATATGTTTGTGGTTTTCTTCAACTACAATAGGTATAGAGTGAACTCTACTTTTCCTAACAAGGCACTACTTTTCATCTTGGGACCACTATGGCAGGATCTAACTTTTTCCTTAATCACAGCCCAGAACATCACCTATCAAAATAGGAGAATATTTCTTCTTTTCCTTTTTTACAAATTCAATCTCACGGACCAAATTTAATCAAGGTCTATGAAACGATGAAATCTATACTGAACCATTTTAAAAAGGAGTGTGATGAAAACCAACGAGTTTACTGCATATGTTTGTGGTTTTCTCAACTACAATAGGTATAAAGTGAACTTCACTTTCCCTAACAAAGCACTACTTTTCTTCTTGGGACCATTAATGGCAGGATCTAACTTTTTCCTTCTTAACTAAGATAGATTACACTAACCAGAGGAAATCATACTCGTCCAATGACCTGCTGACTTCGCCCCATTCACTTTACAAATGGGCATCGGATCACGCGCTACCAAAAGTCTTATTCGTTTTACTTTAGAAAAGATCAACTTTCTCAAGGTGCAATATACACAGAAGAGAGAACAAAGAATGGCCAGCAAAAGGCAGCATCCAACGAGCAAAAAAGGTGGGAAAAGTCAGAAAGAATAGTCCTAGCTGAACTCGATCAAATGGGGACCAAAAGCAAATGATACACGAAAATTTTAACCCCCAAGCACAATTCTTATCTCTACCAACTAAAATTTATGGGAGGCCCCATCAATGATGATCAATCACACGTCCAAATCATGTATGACAAAATATGGGCCACTGAGAAACGCGCTTTCCAGGAAAAGAAGATGGTGAAAAGGATAGAAGGTTCACCTGATCCAGGAAAAAGTCCAGGTAATGCCGGAGAGGGAACCGAGCGACACTCTTTCCGGTGGCTGAGAAATAAGAAACATCACAAGCTTGCAGCCCTGAATACAAAAATCCTATCCCATTCACTGCTGCTATGTACCTGCATAATGTAGGAATTTACCAGAAGTTATCACCATTTGTGATCTTTCCAAATACCCAAAATTTATCTCACCAACCCTAAAACCCAAACAACGAATGAAGGAATAAAAAGCACATACGAATGCCATCAGAAACCTGAAATCACTTTCTGAATCAGCAAATCACATAGGATCATCAGCTTTCAGCTGGGAGTTGCAAATTCACAGAAACCTCAATCTAAGAAGACTGACAGAATGAGAAAATGGAGCACTTAAAATCTGAAGAGTTATTAGATGGAATGAGATCGAACCTGAACTCCCTGTATCGGTAGAAGGAATCAATAGCCCAACCCTGGTTCTTATCAGCCACCATAACAGAGAAAGACACCAAGCACAACACGAGCCCACACACTCTCAGCACCAACAGCGCCCTCCTCACCGTGCGCTCTCTCCTGGTCCTCCTCAGTATCGACAGGTTCGGCCTCACCCTCCCACGACCGCCGCTGCCTCCTCCGCCGCTGCCAGCGGGGAGGTCGCTGGCTCCGGCTCCGGCTTCGACGCCGCTTTCTTGCTTGACCTGCTCGCTCTCGGCACCCAGATCCACCACGGTCAGCGGGCCCGGGCCATCCCTCACAGACCGCCTCACGGAAACCGCCGCCGCCAGCGGAAGCGGCTGCGCCTGCGGCGGGGAATCCGGGTCCGCGGTGGCGGGTGGGGGCGACTTGCCGCGGCCGTCTTCCCGCGGGGAGGATAACCGGCTGATGGAGCTCTGGTCCGAGGAGAGGGACGAGTCGGAGGCCGAATCGATCGGGTGGAGCGGCGACTGCATCGGAGACGGCGGCTCGCCACCTCCGGGGCCCGGCGGCGTTGTGGGTCTGGGATCAGAGCGGGATGAAGAAGGCGGAGGCCCAGCAGAAACTTGATGCTTTTCTTCTCCTTGTTCTTCCATTTCTTGGTCTGCGCGTTGATGGTCGTCCTCAGCACGTGGTGGGTGTTGAGGTCTCGCTTCCATTCTCTTGCGACTGAGTTCGAGTTCGAGTTCAGCACCCGATGACCGTGTCTTATCACTGATGAGTTCGATGACGAGACACAGACAGAGACAGAGACAGAGGGACAGAGGGACAGAGGAGACTGATTTTGAAGTTCTTGGCAGTTTCTTGGATTGACTGTACGAGGAGACGTACTTTTACTTCGCGGTTCCAAAAGCTAACGACAACAGCTATTGCGTTGGCCGATGAAAGAAAATTTTTGCGAGAGTTTTGCCTCTTTGTTACGATTGTTCACCCTAAAATCGGCCTGCTGATGAACTATAACAACTAGAAAAACCGTCCGAATGGTCGAGGCCGGAATCAAAAACCGTGCGGACTGCGAACGAAAGGATACGATGTCTTAGCGCACGAATTTTTGTGAAGTTTGATTAACGAGCGCCTAACGAGACTAATTAGGCAGTAATGTATCCTGTTTAGAAATTATTCTTTCGGACCGACCAATGTGTTCGCGATTGATTTGATAGGATTCTCGGGACCAAGTATAGTAACTTCTTGCTTTTGCTTATTCTTGCTTTGCTTCTTCTCTCTTTCCTTTTGTTACTCAAGATCCGGCGTGACGGCACTTGTTTGGCTAGCATAAAGATATTAGAAATATCAAAAGTTTTGTACGGCGCTCATTTCAGTGCAAAAAATTTTCACCTCAAACTTCAAAAGTCATCGAGAGAGGATTCCTTCGTGAGATCCATGTGTCTGTTCTATTGTGCCCTATTTTAGCTATGGTGGTGAAAGAGAGCTAGAGTTACTACAACATTTATTGTAAATGGACAATTTACTCCACTAGACGACAATCTTTCAACGAGGAATTTACAAGTTCTCGTGTCGATGGGTATAATTTCTCTACTAATAGATTGCTTTTGAGAATTAGGGTTTATATTTGAGGAATTTGGGAAAATAATTGATTGTCCAATTTAGGATTTATGGTTGGAGCAAAACATGTAGACGACATCATTTATTAGTAGATATGCTGACTCAGCACGCCAACGAGCCACGTCAATCGAAAAAATTAAAAAAATATTACCACGTCAAAATTCCGATAACCCAAATTGAAATTGACATAATAAAATATATAATGAAGTGCTAAGTGATTTTTTTTTTTAAGTGACACCTAAGTGATATGACAAAAACTTTTGACATCAAAATGAGCACCGTACAAAATTTTTAACATTTTTAGTATCCTTATGCCCAGTGATTTTGTTCCACCAAAAAGAGAATCAAACTTTGCAAAGCCTACAGGTTCCCGATGCACCACACTAGATGGAGCCACCGAAAACAATTTTATTTACCAGCGCTTGGGGCTTAGATGCAATAGAGAATCCTCATGCGCTCTCCCATCATTACACTCTCATGAGACCAATTCAAATTTTTGATCGAACAGGATGTCTCCAATTCAGTTCGACTTTCTTCGTCTGAACCTTCCGTACATCACTGGGCTTCGACGCTTCCACTTGCAGGCACAACTCACAAGCGATCAAAGGTATAGCCCGAACCTGTCCCGCGTGTCACGATTGGCTGAACGAAATCCCGAGGCTGGAGACGAGAATGTACGGATAGAATGTAAAACATCAAGGTTACTCCCTGAGGTTCCCACTTAACTTGTTGGTTCGTTGTTGTTTGCAACTTTATTCATCACAATCCTTGCCACGATGACAATGACGATGAAGAACAGGAAAGCCAAGAACAACAAACCTTGAAAATGTAAACTTAAAAGCTTACATTATCCCATGAATCACCAAGAATTTTTATTTTCTCCACTAATAAGTTACTAGAGTACCTGAATATGTTTCCGACTGCGAATTTTGTAAGTATACAAATCCACTTGCTACCTTGCGAAAAACTCATTTGCTTCGTGATACTTGCTCAACACGACATTGTGGAGAGGGTGGATGGGTTCCAAAAGGTTGGAGTATGGACCTACAACAGCCCAAGGCAAAGGCGCCGAATCCGCACTCTTTGACCAGCTATACTGACACACCGTGAGGCCACTAAGACAATAACATGTGTGGTAGAAGTCTCGAGATTTTCCGGGTTTGTCCCTGAATCCACCCTCCGGCAACTGCATCAAAGCATGAAAGGTCACAACACTGCGTATCCTCACAATTGGTAGCAGCACATCAGGATGAGATCAATGAGCAAACCGTTAAGGACACAAAAATTTAGTGTCTTAAAGGTCAATTGGTATCATCGAAACTAATCTCTCGTTATATACAGATGATACTCTGCTTGACATTTGAAATCACGAAACCCTACTAACATCATAAATCACCACACAGCAACTTAAACTCTACTAAATGCAAACAGGTGGTAGATGCATGGGAATTCATTTCTACTGAATATTGGATTTCGCACACAGGAGTTGTCGATGACCTTCAATTATAAATTCACAAAAACACAAAGCTTCTTTTACAAACTATGCACAAGTACCTGAGAGCATAGAAGAACGTATTGCTGCAAGGCTAGGCTGTTGAAGAGAGATCCCGCCTCTGCACGTCTTTCGACAAAATTATAACTGGCATTGCCAAGGTTTACGGAACAGGAAGCACTCTGAGGGCCTGTAAAGAAGCAACTTCACATGTAATAATGGAAAAGACACGACAATTTCACAAATTAATTTAGGTTCAAATCCACACGACATGAGTGATATCCATAATGAATGCAGATAGCGGATATTTTTTTATCACAAACATATAGGGATCTATAAGCACGCAAGAAAGTTCATTTTTGCAATGCAAAAGGAAGTAGAAACAGAGGACTACATTTTCTTTATAAGACATACCTCCCTGTTCAAACTGGCAGGTCCCATCAACTTGAGGAGAAGCACTCTCCAGATTGTTTTCCTGTTCAGACAGATTGGATGCAGCAGATAGAGAAGAATCTATTGAATCTGTTGATTCATCTCCTCCTCCTTCTGATAGACCAAATGGACGCAATTTTTGCAGCAATGCACAAGCACCACCCTAAAAGTTCCTTTTGTTAATACTGCAATCAACCATCTGGAACCAAAACTGTCAAAACAGAAATTACCTGCCAAAAGGAATAGCAACCATCAACCAATTTATTGGCTCTCCCTTGAAAGCCACATTCTACTCCTTGGCGATACACCATCCAATCCTGACAGAACAAAGTACAGCTGAAATGCACTTCAAATAAAACAACAGACAACTGAAAAGAAGAAGAGCAGACAAAGAAATGCTGATTGTAGACTCTCACAAAACTGTCAAGATGATAGACACAACAAGTTCTTAATGTATATAGAAGTAGCAATTAGCCAGATACAAATGGCAGACACAACAGTCGAAAGAGAGGCAAGTAAGGATAGCGTTGTGACTTACAATTAATCTAGATAAGTCCAACCGATCAGCCTCATTGATTAAAATCATCGTAGCCAACCCACAAAATGTATTTCTGTCAAACCCAAAACAGAAATACTAAGAAAATTTCATGATAAGACAAAGACATAGCCATGATAATATGGAGGAAGAACAAAGAACGGAAAACAACTTCATGGCCATCCAAATGGCTTATTCCTGACATTAGGCAACACACACCACTTCTAAGCATTTTGATGAAACATACCCACCATGAGCTTCGGAACCAGGTTCTCCTGCGATGCCACCCTCATAAGTCTGACAACTGTATAGAGCCCAAGAGTAGAGCTTTCAGCAAATAAAATAATCAATAATGAATAAGATGCTTCCTAAGGCAGTATCATAGTCTAACTTCCCCAAGCCACATAATAAGATGCTTCCTAAGGCAGTATCATAGTCTAACTTCCCCAAGCCACATAAGGTAAGATTTTCTACATTGACATTGCCCAGTAAGAAAAGTCAGCTGGTTCAGGTGCATCAAAGTATGAACGTAACATTTTATAACTGGATTTTGTGCCAGGCTGGATAGCGATAGGCATAATACATTTTGATCATAAAAAGGAATATTTACTGCATCTAGATCAGCGACCCACCAGTAATTAGCATCTTAAGGTTGAAGACACAACCTGACCTCCCTAAAAGTCATTGACAAACAACACAATTTCGAGAAAGAAAACAGATCCACCTATGAAAGAACCTCAGCATATTAATAAAACTGTGCCCCAAATGTGTCTCCAATAAACACCAAATGGGTATTGCACAAAGCCATAGTAGCCATAGGGCCAAAAATTTGATCTTTTCTTCTTCGTTTTTCTAATCCTTTTGCTTCAAAGACTATGACGTCATTTCCACTTCTAGTATCATGTATGCTTATTGTAAACAGTAAACATATTAACACCATGTAACGGATCTCACAAAGCGTCACATTAAAAAACATGGCACGAAGCGTAATGCTAATACATGAAATTGACGTGTATCAACTTTTGAGTCAATAGGCCATCAAAGGAGACAGACTGTCAAGAAAGAGACCAGAGCACTGATAATACAATTCAAAAGGCACCATTGATTCCGTGTCAAACCAATTTTAACAGACCTCAATATGAAATCTCCAACATTTTCAGCCAGCCCATCATCCAAAATGTTTAGGCTGCTTGCAACCTAGCCAAGCAGGAGTTTCAGCGTCATTCAGAGATTAATCTGACAACATGAAAACAATGAAGTAATCATCCCGGGATAAGAATATTCTTTTGAGTGGCAAATAGTTACATAGATCAATCACTTTCTAAGGGATTGAAGGAATTCTAACTTGAGCTCTAACCAGTGACCAAAAGGTGAGAACATAAGGAAGACAAGATTCCTTAAATCAAGTACCCTCTTCAGTAAAAAGCATTACACATGAGTAAGACATCTCAGGAATGCAGATAAGCTCATAATGTGATTTGATATCACAAAAGATACTAGAAGGTTTGCTCATTTCTACAGATCCAGCGCTACACAGTACAGATACCAGGACAAAGCCAAAATCTTTTGTAGCAGAGCATTTATCTCGTTTGTTTAAGGCTGAAGGGCACAAGGATTACGAGAGATACAGATACTAAAGCATAGCCGGTCCTAGAGCCAGCA